AGATTGGCATTTGTATTACAAGAGAGCTGGTTAGGGCTGCATTAGCCTGCATGTATACGATTTTTTCAAGTATTTATTTCTCACACTAGATCAACTCAGACACCCATCGGGCAGACCCAGCTCGTAATTATTTGAGAAGACCTTTAAAAAGTTCCATACACACATGCCAATGTTTATGTGATATAAAAGAAAAAAGTCGATTTTTATGAAAAATCGACCCCCTTAAATTTCACACCAAACGCGATTTCTCAAAAATCAGCCCAACAATCTTTTACCAAAAACTGAGCGTTTGTAGCTACCATACCAACAAAATGGCATATGCCACATATCCGGGAAAATTCGTATTTCGAAGTTCTGGGCATAGGCAATTCATCAAAGTCTTGCTTTATTTTCACTGAAAATGACATTTTTGTTCGGAAAACACGTGAAATAGACCTCTGACGACATTTTGGTCTTAAAAAACTGCTATTTTTTCGTGAAAATAATGGGAGTCTACGAACACTTGAATATCCATTTCGTTGTCATTTTGGTCATAAATCGGCATTTTGGCATCTGAATGTATGAAATTGAACTTTTGCTCGGGGGATACATAAAAAATGCACTTTCCAGAGATTTGGTGGTTGGGAACTAATATTTTTTAATGAAATAATGAGAATCCACAATCGTTTCAACACTCTTTTTATGGTTATTTTGAAATTTAATCATATTTTACCGCATTTTATAATGTGCCATTAGAGGAAATTGGGACTTTTCCAATGGTAGTCGAAATTAGATAGTGCAATCTCCAGAACTTGTGAAATTAGAATGCCAATGTGTTACCCAGAAAATTGCAATTTTCTGATGATAAGAACTTAAAATAGACATACTTCTGGTAAAAATGTATTTAAAAAAAAAGCTTTACAAAAGTAGTGATATCAAATGAAAAACCTCTAGACGAGGTTAAAATGAAGTGACGCTCCGTGCGTGAAAATACCACTCAAAATGACTGATGTCATTTTGAGTGACGCTAGGACGCTGTATTGCTGAGAACGAAGTTCAAAAGCGCATTCACTATTGTGAAAATTTATTTACAATAAGGAAAAATATCGCGTCACGACTTTTGGACGGCAAAACGCTTTAAAACTTGACTTGGAGACTAAATTCAAAAGTCGTGACGCAAGATATTGAACTTTTTAGTACATTTTTAGAACTCTTTTAGCACTTTTAGAACATGGTATGCAAAGGTCTTGAGGAGTACTAAAAAGTTACTTCAGACACTATTGCTCTATTTTGAGTAGTTGAGAAATTATAGGACTTCAAATTTTTCGCTAAAAAATTACAAAAAATCGAAAAAATTGAACAATTTTGATGTAAAACCTCTTTTTATGCACTTATATATTCCATTCGAATGAAATTTTCCAAAAAAAAAAATAAAAAAAGTCCAAAAAAAACAATTTCAAAACAATCAATTTTTTCCAAAAAAAACTCAAAAAAATCAAAAATATCGATTAATTATTATTGCGGTTTTTGATGCAAATCGTCATTATTTGTCCTAATTCATTTCATTCGACCAAAATTTCTCCAAAAAATGCGACAAAAACGGCACTTTGAACAGTGAAATAATTCAAAAATGCGGACCGCACCGAAACAAAACAATCACAGACAAAGAATAAACAAATGCCAAAAAAATCACATTTCAGTTGTGCTCAAAAGAGCAGCATTGTGATCAAAATTTAGATAAGGGCATGAAGGTTGAATATTTGAAGACGTGTATTAAAGATGCGGCAGCAAAAATTATCAATCATTTGGCTCCAACGCCAGAGAATTATGATACCTGTTATCAGAGCCTTTCCTAGCTTCGCTGGCGCCTTGGTTCAAAATCCTTTGGCGCCCTTTCAAGCTGGAATTTTTAAGGGGAGTGAAAAAAACGTAGAAATGATCAAATTTATTCAATTTTTTTTTTGAAAAGCAACAGAAGAACGATACATTAAAATGACTTACTACATAAGAATGTATTTTTTCTTGTTGTCATATTGAATCAAATTTGCTACATCGCTTTCTATTGATATGATTGCCAGATGATTCAGCCTATCTTGACCTGTTGCATAGAAATGCAAATAGAGATAAGTTTTACTCAACTTAAGCTTTGAAAATGATCGCTCTCTCGTTGCAACGCGAACTGGGATCGCCAGCAGTATGTGAAGCGCAGTAACTGCACTTGAAACTAAGTTTTCCATTTTTCGCTTCTAAATTGAATTTAGTATATCGATTGCGTGAGTAATATTATCTTGTTTCACTAAAGTTGAAACCAATGCAAGTTATAGAAATAGTTCATCACCATCGATATCAGATTTTCCATCATGCGTAGAGGTGTCAATCGAACAATTTTCGAACAAATTTTTTCTTCCAAATTTCGAGGTGAAAATTTTTTTGGTTACGTTTCGAAAAATTTCGAACAAAATTTTTTTTCGAACGAACAAGTTCGAACAAACGTTCGTGTTTGAAAAAATTTGTTGTTCGAGATTGTTCGAAACGTACCCAAAAAAATTTTCACCTCGAAATCCGGAAAAAAAAATTTGTTCGAAAATTGTTCGATTAATTTCGCATGATTCATGCGTTGAAACAACTTCAAGTTTCTTGCATGATTTCTGCAAACTGCTGTTCTTTCGGTTTGTTTCATAGTTTTCAAAATTATGAAGAAACGAAAATAATTCGCTGTATTGCTTTAGTGCTTTAAAACGATCAGTGATTGAATCAGTTGCGGATTCAATGATTGGTAAGAAAGCTATTGTTACAAATTCCTCTGTATTTGTAACAGTTGTTCTAGCCGCTCGAGGTTTTTGATGATCAAATTTAACTTCAATCAAAATGCGTTCGCAAATTTCCGTTGCTTCATGGAGAGCCTTTTCGCAGCCATTTTCAGCGCTCGGGCACTTTTCCCTTAAATTGACAATTCCTAATGTTCTTAATTCGGAGGCGAGAGCGCCAAAGGCACTCGAGCCCTTTTTTTCATAAATATTTCTTCTCAGTTTGGAATTCAAGGGCGCCGAAAAAAGGCAAGGGCGCTGAATGAAAGCAATTCTTTATTTTAAAATAGAAACTATATCATTTCAAAATGAAGAATTGCTTTATTAATTCCTGTTGGCGCCCTTGAATTTCAAACTGAGAAGAAATATGTATAAAAAAGAGCATTCGAGCGCCTTCGGCGATTTTAAGCCTTATTTAAAAACATCAACAGTTTTTAGTTCAAGGGAAAGGCGCCCAAGCGCCTTCGGCGCTCTCGTGATTATTTCAAGTAAATTCGGCAATTTTGAAATATCAAGCGCCCCCGAGCGCCTTCGGCGCTCGTGCGCCCTGGTTCTTTGAACCACTTGAACCCCCGCTAGGAAAGGCTCTGATTGTGAGCCAAAACAATGTCACAGACAAAAAATCATGCACGCCTCAAAGCGAACACGAGTTCCTCGAGCCGTTAGCCAAACTCTTTCAATCTAAAACAAACCACAATAAACAACCATGTTTACAGTATGAAATATCAACAGTACCAGCCGAGCGCGTGAGAAAGTCGAAACCAATTCCAGGAAAACGGCACACGCGCGGAGCGACGAGAGGAACATTCGTTGAGCAGGCGCATACACACACACTAAGGCACTAAGTACACCGCACACAATCAAACAACGGAGAAACGAGAACGCAACCCCGTATTTTCTAAAGAAAAACACGAGCGTCGTGCGATACACCAATGCTATGCAGTTCATCGAAGTCTCTAGCGAGACAGAGAAGGAGAGCAGCAGAGCAGCAAATGAACAGGGGGGTATTCCGGTTCTACCCCCCCTCTAGGATTCCAAATGTGAGACCCCCCTCGAGCGATTTGGAAAATTTTACACTAGATATAATCGATTTTCAAAAGTGTGGACCTTTTTTTTAGTCCCCACTTTTTTGGGAGACTGGTTTTACACTAGATAGAATCGTTTTTCAAAAGTGAGGACCTTATTTTTTTAGGTCTTCATTTTTTTTGACACCCATTTATAAATTTGCAGACCCCCATTTATAAATTCACTCATCGGAAAGATATCGAAGAAAACACACGCAAATCGTGTTAGGCCAAGAAATTTTTCTGAATAATTTAAGCAAAAAATCGAATACGCCGATCCAAATAAGAAATTTAATGAAAAGAGATAAAATTCGAGCGATAAACATTTAATTGTGCAGAAAATAAATTACAAAAGAAAATTTCACGGAGGGAATGGAATAACAGAGCAGTTAACTCAGAGCAAAGCGACTCATAAAACAGAAGAAAATAAGCAAAATTAAATTCACGAAATAATCCGGCATTTTGACAAAAATAAGAAAAAGCGAAAAAATTAGCGCGAAACAAATAGTGAGCAGTAATTTACAAAAGAGATACATTTGAAAGAGACAGATCTTTAGCGTAGGAAGCGCAAAAACTAAACGGAATTTTTCCAGGAAAATTTATTGAGCATTGTGCGTGTGAGAAATGAGATTAAGCAACTAAACATAAGAAAAATATCTAGAAAATAAAAATCAAGTGCGCTAAGAGCAGAAAACCTAGTGAAAAAACATGAAAGTCAAAGCATTTTCGCAGAAATAAAATTCTCAGGGCATTTTTTAATATCATCGTCGAAGAGCCGCCATCTTGGAAGCAATAAATTGTGCGCATATAAAATATTTTTACACAGTCTGGAACATTCAGAGCGAAAGAGCAACGGACAACGGTTGATTAGTGCAGAACATTCGAGAAAAACGAAAGTCAACACGGGCGTGAACAAAAAATTATTACAAACGCGAAACGACAAAGGGCCTCATTCAGTGCGAAATTTTCAAGAAAGCAGCGAGGAAGCAAAGAGCCAATATACACAGTTATTCACAGCTAACAAATCGAGCATTGTTGAGCAGACCATAAAAAGTGAAACGCGTCATTAATTGTGCAGCACAAGCAAATCAAAAACGAGAAAGAAAAATGGACCAGCGGAAAAAAACGTTGCGATGTGTTAATCGTCAAGATTTTCAAAGCCGAAGAATTCACGAAATCGGGCGCATTTCAAACAGCATCATTGTTCGAACAACAGCCGCTGGCACAAGCGCAAAATGCCGTATGGCCACAACAGGTGCAGCCACAAGTGCCACCACAGGCAATCAACCCAAGCATGGTGTGCCACAATTGCGGTGAGGATCGTTGTCCGGATTTCCTCCAAATGACCATTCGACAGCGCCGACTTCGCATTCGCGAGCTCCAGCTATGCATCAATTGTTTCTCCGCCGGCCACCGAGGAGGTTCACCACATTGTCGTGCAGGGCCATGCAAACGTTGCGCGGCCGACGAGCGCCACAATAGTCTCGTCTGCTTCGAACAACTGGACTGAGAGCCAACAAATCTACGTCATTCATCATTTTATTTACTGGGCGACTAACGCCATGAAAATCAAAGAAAGGTTAAACAGAACACAGAAAAAAGATAGTTAAAGCGCCATTTGAAACTGATATTTCCTTTTATTGCGAGCAGAGGCGAAGTGCCGTTAGAATCTAAGATTACCTTTATGAAAATTATTGTGAGCAGTGCTTTAAGAGCAACTCAATGTTCAACATAAGATGCCGGATCCAAGGTTAAGTTATAGAGCGAGTCAAACAACATTGTATTAGACATTAGTGTGCAGTTACCACCAAATATTGTTGTGGTGCAATTCGTTACCTTTTTGCTACCAAACTGAATTTAATATGAAAAAACAAAACAAATCAATTGCCTTTTGTGTAGATTTTATTCACACGTTTGATCACAATTCTGTTTTTGGGTTTTGAGTTAGGGCTTAAGGCCTGGTGTCGCATACAACCGAAACTGAAACTGAAACTGAAACTTAAACTGATTTTCAGTTTTGTTGTACATTTATTCAGTTGCAGTTTCAGTGGTGGATTGCAACATAGAACTGAAACTTAAACTGAAACTGATTGTTATTTTTTCATTTGTCAAACTACATATTTATATCAGTGTCATTGCATCGTGTTTTTTTTAACTACATATGGATTATTCTCAAGCAATTGCAGCATATAATGCTGCCAAGTATTGTTTTGATCACGATTTCATCTGTGTTGCTTTGTTGTTAAATAAAAATAAGAGAAAAAGTCCTCACAAATTATATAAACAACGACTAGAAGAAGGTGCACACAACATTTTGATTGACCGCCACCTCATGGACGATGATACCAAATTCAAGGAATATTTCCGATTGACTCCATTTCTTTTTGGCCAAATACTCGATGATATAAAAAATGACATCGAAAGTATCACAACAACTTGGATTCCCAATCCAATATCACCACGGCTCAAATTGTGCATCACATTACGTTACCTGGCAACCGGAGAATCTTTTCAATCGTTGGCATTCCAATTCAGAGCCCATCGTACGACAATTGGTCGTGTTGTTGGCCAATGTCTTTCGTCGATTATAACTCGTTTCATGATCAAAGCGATGCCAACTCCAACAGCCATATCATTTCAACAAACAATCGCTGATTTCTATTCAAAATGGAACTATCCGAACGTGTGTGGCGCGATCGATGGGAAACACGTGCGCATAAGATGTCCGTCAAATGCCGGGTCTGCTTTTTTTAACTACAAGGATTTCCACTCAATTGTTTTGTTGGCAATTGTCGATGCTCACTATAAATTCATTGCTCTTGATGTCGGTTCGTACGGAAGAGAAGGCGATGCAGGTATATATACGATGCAATTCGAATGAATTTAAATTTTTGTTAAATTCAATTGTGATTTCACAGGCATTTTTCTGAAGAGTGATATGGGAAAGTTAATAAACAGTGGTAATTTCAATATTCCACCACCTGCTGCTCTGCCATCAACGAATATCGTATTGCCAAACGTTATTCTTGGAGACGAAGCATTTGCCTTGACCAATTCGATGATGAAGCCGTATCCAAGAGTCCAATCGCTTCATGATGGAAGAAAGGCGATCTACAACTATCGACACAGTCGGGCAAGAAGAACAACGGAAAATTGCTTTGGTATAATGTCGGCGTATTTCCGAATTTTCTTCACGCCGATTCATACCACCCCGGAGAAGATTGACAAAATTATTCTCGCTTCATGTGTTCTACACAATATGATGCGTGATGAAAAAATTCCAAGTCCAGCGGAACCCGCATTTGGCAACACCGACAATATCCCATTTCCAGCGGCAAATCTTATCGGATTGGCAAACGCAATTGGAAGACCAACAAGTGAAGGAACGTCCATTCGAGAACAATTCAAAGAATATTTCAATGGAGTTGGCGCAGTGCAATGGCAACAGAATATGATTCGTTAGAAAATGTTTTATTGTATTTAAAAAGTAAAAATAAAAAAGAAAAGACAATTCAATTTCAATTTTCTTCATCCATTTGATGATCGCTTTGATTCGATTGACTTGCTTGTGTCAATGCCAATCCATCAGGTGCTTGTTGTTGGACCACTTCTGGTTGCACATAAATGTATTCCACAGGTGGTTGCTGGGCC